CAGGGTGTCCCGGGGCTTTGGGGGGGGGGGGGAAGGGGGAAGGGGGGAGGAGAGTGCGGATGTTCCAGCAGCAGGCAGAGAAGGGTGGGAATGGGAGGGGAGAGGATGTCCCACAGAGGAGAAAGGAGGAGATGGAATTCTTACTTCCTTGGAGAAATGTAAACCCCCCCCAACTGCTGCTCCAGTGGTCCTGACTGAAAATGAGTGTGTCTGTGACACTGCACCCCCTCTGGATCCACCCAATATAGACTGTGGAGTAACAGATAGAACATCTTGGGTGAAAACACCTTAGGAAACAGATATAAGCAGTCAAGTAACTTTCACCTAACTGGTATCAGAATTGAGCAGAACAAAGGCAAGACAAGACCAGGAAGCAGGTTAAATGCACAGGTAAGTGGTACATATATTATTTCTCATCCAGAACTGATAAGTTGCCTTCACTGCAAAAGGCAAACCTGGACAAAAGTGGGTTTGACACATTTTTGGAGTATGCCTTTCTTCTGGTCTATCATCACTTCCTCTTAAAGAACTCAAAGGGTTTATTCCAATGCTTTTACTCAAACACAAAGCAAATTCTGCTTGCAGTTGCATCATTCTTGTTAATTATAACCAGGCAGGTATCATACTCTCTCAAATAGCTAATCATTTCTTACTCATTGTTAATCATCTCTTTTTAAATTGCTCTTCAACAGGAAGAGTAACCAACTAAGCTGGGATATGGAAAGAGAGGACAAGCAATTGTGCATAAAGATCAGATTTTGATATGAGAGGATACCCAATAATTATGAACCTATGGGTGACCCTCAGGTGAGACCTTCATTTATTCTCTGCGCTCCATTACATTCTTCTAGGCAGTGAAAAAATATTAAATATAATATCAGTAATGACAAATGTAAACTTACTTTACAAGCACCATAGAACGCCAATAATCATGCTTGCCTAATAGTACTGCTAAAGCCAATTAATTCACACTGAGCCCTGCACAACACTTAACTCTACCCTCCAGTGTCTCATTTAAAATATTTTTTATTCTACAATTATCACACCCTGGGATATAGGCAAAATATATCCATTATCATGATGCCCCCACTTGTGACATTTATAACAGTCCTGAGACCACCCAAGCCCCTATTTAAAGGCAAATACAGATGGGATAAACAAACTGTAATTGTATTTCCAGTGTCCCACAAGATACTAAGCCCTGCCAGAGAGGTCAGCATCTCTTAAGAGGAAAATCAGCAATACATACATTTGCAGCCACAATGCAACTTGTGATGTATTAGATGCAGGTCTCTAGGTAAACTATTTCATGGGTTTTGTTCTGCAGTACTTTCAGGCTTATCAACGGCAATGGTAAAAAGATAAGAAAACACAAATGAAAAACCATGGGCTGGGGGATGGAGGATGGAGGGCATGTTATATGCATAGTTCCAGCATCAGTTGATATCAAGTGTGCGCGATGAGTGATATCAAGACCCATATCCTAATCATGATATCGAAGGCCTCATATGAAATTATGTTCAAGTGAAAGTTAAGGAAACTGATTAAAAAAAAATCATCTGGATTCTTACAAGTAACTGCAAAATAGAATTCTTTGCCAGAATCAAAGCAAAATGGCATGACCAGACAATAACAAATTCTCTCAGAGCCTCAAGCATTCATTGTTTAAAATATAAAGTAGAGATAATCTCAAGTTATTTTAATCACCTAAAAAGAATTAGGACAGTTTTGTGGCTAAGAAGCTGGACTGAAAAACTCACTGGATCTAAGTTCTATTACTCAGGCAAGCCACTGAGAAGGCTCATCCTACAAACGCTTAAACCTAATTTGAAACTTTATTCATGTGTGTAAAGTCAAACAGTTATGAAGAAGGATAGTTTATTCATCCTAGTTACTTTAAACTGTGCTTCAGTGGTTAAAAATCAGGGCCTGATTTTTTTGTTTTGTTTTCTTTTTTTGATGCCGACCCAGGAAGAGTATGTCTATAATCATGGCACTTGTATTCTCAGGCTAGGGAGCTCCTGACAACATCCCACCCACATATACCTGCTGACACATTCCAAGTGCAGAAATATACTTCTGAGGCCCGTGAGGACTGTCTCTTCACAGCTGCACTCAAGAATTAGTGTCTGGAAGGCTAGGGACAGACATACATAAACTGGTGTAAGTGATCGAAAACCATAGATTTCATAGACATTAGGGCTGGAAGGGACCTC